CATGTCTACATGCCTAAATGCACTGAGTTGCCGCCATGTGATTGGCTGCTTAGAAATTAAGTGTTAACCAGGCAGCTGGACAGGTGTACCTAATAAAGTGGCCGGTGAGTGTATATATATATATATATATGTCATCTGTGAACATCATGTTTTTTCCATTACCCACATAAGGCTAAACACAATTAGCTGCAGGAACCAGTTAGCAAGTAGAACAGGGTCTATTTCATGTTTAGGAAATGGCCTGCTGAGTTTTTTCTTAAATTACTGAGAAAAACTAAATGTGAACTTTATGCCACTGCCTGGATAAGAAGTAAAGTTCATTGTAACAACAAAGAGCTAAAGGAGTAACAGGAATTCAGAAAAAAATAACCCAAAGGAAACATTTAGATTTTCTTTATTTTTTTAAACTTTTAATTAAAGTTAATTAGAAATAAAATTTTATTTTTGCTTTAAAACTACAACATTTTAAATCAATCATGCATGTAAAGCATGTATTAGGTTTATCTTTACAGCACAAATTCACAACAAATGTGATAAGAACACATCTTGCAAGACAAACCACATAATATTTTAATCAAGGGAAACCCAGAATACTTACCAATTATTCTTTCTTCAATCTCCCTGTTTCCTGCCATGTTCCTGCAGTCGTCTTTACAGTTGTTTAAATCGTTCCTTTATGATGTTATTGGCCTGGTGTCAAATGGTTCTGTTCCTATTTGAGTTATAAACTTTAGTTGGTTACATCCCTCTGGGCGGGGTGTCGGTATAATGGGACTATGGCAAGCCCTCTTAACATAAAATCAGATTTACCACACTTGCATTAAAGCTATCTTGAATCAGTTTTTGACTAGACATACGTTTAAGATATCTGTATTTATATGTTGACTAGGCAAAATTACATCACATTTACTATTTATCTCTAAGGGGTCTACAGCTTAAGATATCTGCAAAACATTACTGACTATCTGAAAGGTATATTTCAGATATCTACAATTGAATCATGACTAGTAGTAAATGCAAATTCAGATATCTTATTTTATCTTCTGCCTAGTCACAAATCAAATTAAAGATATCTCAAATTACCTTTCTATTCAAGATATCTGAATGTATTTTCAGATATCTTAAAGAAGGATTTGTCTAGTGGGAATTCGATTGCAGATATCTTGAAAGCAAATAATGATTAGACAAATCAACATTCAAGATATCTACCATTGTATTTTTGACTAGTCAAAAATCATTTGGAGCTATATAAAAAATAATTACGTGAATTCTCCGGTTTTTAAAACAAACTTTAGTGCTGCAGTTCGAAATGGTTCGGAATTACAGAAAATGCTGCATTTCACCTTTGGATTATATTGACAATAGCATATTTAAGCTAGCTCAGGAGAGAGACTGGAAATTCTATGAAATGTGTTTTAAAATTTATATGGGATATTCAAGCTACGCTGAGTTAGTAGAACCTCACTGGCGATCCGATTTAGGAGCACAGACTTTGGCCAGTCGCTCTCTGTTGCTCTCTCTTCTCAAGGGCGGTGGTTCTTTTGGGGGCCGTAAACAAACCGTTGAGATATAAAAGTAAATTCCTTGTCTTGAGGCCAATTGAAACAATACCAGTGGTAAATCTTGCTACTAGATTACATAAATGAAGCACATCTTTTTTTAAATCAAAGACTTGTTTACTCATTTCTGGGAAAGTATAGTATTTTTCTTGAACAGACTTATTCTAGGTTATGTGAACCACTGACTCAAAATTCATGTGAAATCGTTCTACTAGGTGGGACAAATGAGGTACACTCATTTTTATTCCATTTTAAGCCTTTTCATATTGTTTAAGGATTTCTATTATTCTAAATTTAGCATTATTAATCTTTATCTTTCAGGTAATGTATCCTGAAAGGTTTGTATTTCTATTTTTTGTTATACAACAAATAAAACTTGACCACATTAATATGATTTGACATTGAAATCTGTGCTTGAAATTGGAAAGACACAGATGGATTTCTAGGTGGATGAGAAGGTGAATCTGGATAATAGGCCTCACGCCTCTTTTAGAAAAGATTACATATTATATTCCACATATAAACTATGTTCTTTGTTGTCCACTAGATAGCATATCACATAGTAATGTTGATGTCAATCATTTGATCAAGTTAAGCACAAAGTATTGATCAATATATACTCATATTTATTTAGGTCACAACATGCCACACCTCTGTGTCACTTCTGTTTAAACAGTATCAAATAATTTCTTTCATTGTCCAGGGAATACTTCAAGATGAAAAGGACAACCAATGGGAGAACAGCGTTGGTTGGGATCAAATAGAAAATGCCGAAAAGCCACCCATCAACAAGAAGGAAGCAGCTGCAGAGTCATTGAACTCAAAGTACAGAGAGGATTTACTGTTTTTTGTTGAGCAAGTATAAATGATGTGAAACCAAAAGTAACATTATTGTCATAAGGAAAAGTATATTAAGAATATAGAATATTCTTTATTTTATATAGAATATAGAATAAAGAAGGATTTGACAAACATCCGGAGACAGTTATTAGTAAATAAAGGACAAGGGTCAAAATGTTTAAAAATCTAGAAGTGAGGTTATTGTCACAGTCTTGGTTCTGTTATGTTTTCTTTTGAGTTTTCAGTTTTACTTTGTTCCATGTTTTCTAGTTTTAGTGGTTTCATTTTTATTTTGTTGTGTTTTCTAGTTATTTTTCAGTTACTGTCATAGTCTTGGTTCTGTTATGTTTTCTTTTGGGTATTCAGTTTTACTTTGCTCCATGTTTTCTAGTTTTTGTCATGAACCGAGGACAGATGGACCCAGTATTCAAGGAGAGACAGTCA